CAGACATGTCTCATGGGAGTAACACCAAAGGCATTCCTTGAAGATATAGGAGTAGCAAAAAATATTTTTTAACATGAAAACTTAAAACTTTCCTACCTAGAATGTAAGATGATATATTATCATGGTCACTTTATCTATTAGATTAAAAATGGGTTTCCCCTTTATTTTTTAAAAAGTTAAAAGTACTAGAATGAATTCTTATTAACTGTTTCTCTGTAGGGAAAATGTCATCCCAAGAGAGCAAAAGGTTGGTGTTGAGAGTAAACAGTCTTAGTTTTTTAAACAGATCAACAGTAAATCTTTAATGTTAGCATTTTGTAACAGTGGGTGGTTAGGAACTAATGTCTTAAGTGGTTCAGGAGGAAGAGAATAATGGAAAAAGAAAAGGCTGAGAAATACTGGTGTAAAGTAAGAGTCGCACAATTTGATGGCTATCTGGCTGCTTTTACTTACGAGAAAAATTAGAAATTAAGGTTGCTCCTTGAAAATAGTTTTTTCTCGGATCGGGATTTTTCTTTGGGTGTTCCCCAGTTCCCACTATCCCTTTGACCAGCTGCATACTTCCTTCCATTCAAACTGCTTCTCAATCCCTGCTCCTCTCCCATACGTTTCGTCCACGTGTCCTGACCTGTATGCCCTCCGTGGCCTTTTCTCAAGTGTGTAGGTTGGCCTCCCAGACATCTTTCAGCTGTCGTTCCATAACCCCTTCCCCACGAAAGCCTTCCTGCATGTGTACCCTCCAAGCCACCCGGTCCCTGCATCAGAATCTCCAGAGTCCCTCTTTGCAGCCCGCCCTCCCCCACCCCAGGGCCTCCTTGCTGGTTTACATATCTGCACCCCATTGAGTTTGCCCAGCCTTATGGGAAATACATCCTCCTACACATAGTTTCAAAGCAACCATTTTAATGCCCTCAATGTAATACGAAAGAGAAATAGCAGGATGGCACTTTATAAACAAAATATGCGTCTTTTTAAGTTCATGGAAAATTTTGTTGTCTTTTAATTCTTTTTTGTCCATGAACTTTTTGAAGCCCCCTTCCATAAATGTTCAAACACAATTACACGAAGAGACCTCTTGAAGTAGGTAGACCTGACTCCACACAAGGAGTGCACGGAAATCTGGCAGACTGATGGGCCCGAGGTTACTGATTCAAACACACAGCAGTTTGATCCTCCAAAACGAAGAAGTATTTCTTGATGAAATTCTGATTAAAGAAAGAATAATCCTACTTTACTTTTCATGGAAGTTACTCTTCTGAGAAATTACGTTCTTAATACATAAAATAGGTTCTATTGGCATTATTGTTAGGAGCCATCAAGTTGGCTCCAACTCATAGCGACTCCGAGTACCCTAGAAGAAAACATCGCCCAGTCTAGTCCATCCCAGCCCCTCCCATGTTGGAGCCCGTTGCTGCTGCCACTGTGTCAATCCATCTGGTGGAGGATCTGCTTAATGTCTTTTTCCAGGGACTGTACGCTCCTGGTAACATGGCTAAAGTAATAGGTTCTAGGCTCTGAGTACTAAAGACTTTTTTTCCCCACTTAAAAGTCCAAAGAGACATTTACAAGTTTTTAGAAAAGAATGATTTTTCATTTGGTGGGATTCTACATAACCCAACCCTTCTTGCCTCTGCTCAATTATGACAACAGTCTCAGACACTGCCCCCTTCAGCTTTCCCAATTATCCTCCTGCCCTGTCTGCCTGTGCTAGTTATTCAGTAAAAGGGTTTCAAATGGACCCTCTAAACTAAAGAGAAATCATCTGTGAAGGGCTTTTTTGAAAAAACCTTAAAGTACCTCTGTTGACGTTTATTTGTATTAATAAAGCATTTTCGGTCCCCTAGTGGTAGAGGGGTGAAGGTCTTGGCTCCTAACCCTTTTGGTTGGTACTTTCAGCTCTGCTAGAGGAGAGATGTGGCAGTCTGCTTCAACAACGTGTCTAGCCGAGGAAACCCTATAGGACAGTTCTGCCATATTATATATGGTCACTGGTTTGAAGTCAACTTGATGGCACGTAAGAACAAGGAGAGAACTTACTTATATGTAAATATTTAGGAGGTTTGACTATTTTAAGTGTGTGAATAATTGTTATACAATGAAATCAGCAAATCTGAAAAACACAACCCAGAATACTATGGTACCTGCTTGCCCTGAGCCCAGACCCCGCTCTCTGGTGTACAGTCACCCTGGTAAGACGGGTGCGAGTCCCCGGGTCACAGTATCTGGATTGTTGCCCAGGGTCACCATCTTCCATCTATGTTCCAGTGTTTGTGGGCTACCTGTGCATCGTGCTCCTCATGCTGCTGCTCCTCATCTTCTGGATCGCCCCAGCCCATGGGCCCACCAACATCATGGTCTATATCAGCATTTGTTCCTTGCTGGGGAGTTTCACCGTGCCTTCCACTAAGGGAATTGGGCTGGCAGCCCAAGACATCTTCTACAACAACCCTTCTAGTCAGAGAGCCCTCTGCCTGTGCCTGGTGCTCCTGGCTGTGCTTGGCTGCAGCATCATCATCCAGTTCAGGTACATCAACAAGGCACTGGAGTGCTTTGATTCCTCAGTGTTTGGGGCCATCTACTATGTCGTGTTCACCACGCTGGTCCTGCTGGCCTCAGCCATTCTGTTCCGGGAGTGGAGCAACGTGGGCCTGGTGGACTTCTTGGGCATGGCCTGTGGCTTTACTACGGTCTCTGTCGGGATTGTCCTCATCCAGGTCTTCAAGGAGTTCAATTTCAACATTGGGGAGATGAACAAATCTAATATGAAAACAGACTAGGATGAAACAGAGTGTTGGGTGGTTTGAGGAGCAAGAAATGGATATAGTTTCTGGTTTCAATGCAATGTGAAGTAGAAGAAATCTTAAATAACTGATATTAAAATTGCCTAAAATGGATGACCTGGTAGACACACGACCACACCTTACAACCACTTGCAGTAGAGTCCCAGCCCTCTGGAGGCTGAAATTGCCAAGGTTGCCTGAGTGTCTTTGCACTGAAGAGAGGAATCTCATTTTCATTGTCATTAACCTGGAAGCTTTCATGAATACTCTTTCCTTTTAAAACAATTTAAGCAGAAAATAAAGATGGTGTCTTTTGGTTAGTTTTTTTATATAAAAGAGCAGATATTCTTACTTAAAGTACTTTGGAAATGAGTAGTGTTTTGAATTTGACTGTGGAATAAATTCTTTGGTTGTTGTGTTATTTTGCATTAAGCATGTACAACATTTAGGTACTGCCTTAGTTATCTAGTCAGCTGTTCAAATCCACCAGTTGCTCCGTGTAATAAAGGTGCTGTAAGTTTAAAGTCTTGGAAACCCAAAAGGGCAGGTCTATGCTGTCTTACAGGTCATGATGAGTTAGAATCAGCAGTGAGTTTGTTTGTTTTTTACCACATTCTGTTTCAGCAAAAATTGCGGCTTTTGATTAGGGTTCTGAGCCCTCAGAATAAGTAAGATTTAACTTGAGAATAAGGCTGTTAAGTGAGAGAATAACTGTTAAGTAGCACATATATTGACTTCTCTTTCAGGAGGACAAGTCAATAAAGGACATGTGTAGGCTTTGTCTAGTTTCTACAAATCAGAACACTCATAGCTTCTTTGATAGTGGTTTTTCCAAAGAATTTCTAGCATAAATGAAAACAATTGCTTTAGCTCTTTCTTTGAGATTTCATAACATCTCACAGTTTTTAAACTAAGCTCTCATTAAACTTCCTAAATAACCACTCATTATGCTAATATTTTGATCAAAGAGATCATTTTTCTATTGGTTGCACAAAGCAATGCAACTATTTCATGGACTTTGTGTGTTATGTTATCCAAATAGGGAACTATACGAAAGTGAAAATTGGGTAAATTAGATTACAATTAAGTAGAACATAAAATTGAATAAAACCTTACTAAATTACTTGCAAAGGAAAAGAATGCATTTTTTAGGGGAGGTGAAAAACATTTCTAAAGTAAAGACCCAAGAAATAATTCTCTAATCGATTGAACAAAGAAACAAAACTAAATGAGAATAGTTTAACATAGAGCAAAAAATTCCTTTATAGATGAGAACAACATGTAATAATAACTGTGGCTCACAGGTTGCCAATCATTTGTGACTAATGTTAACAGCAAAATTCTTTTTTAAGAATTTAAAATCTTATGTTAACTAAAAGTTAATAAATGCCTAAAATATCTTTATTAGTTATTTAAGTCCTGCTGTTAATAATTAATATTTTTAGAAGCATCAATAGACTTTTATTTATTGAACTGAACTTTCTACAAATACAGTGCAGCAGTAACAATATGCATTTAGGCATAACAATATTTTTCTAGGTAATTTTGAGGTATTCAGAGAGTACATATGGTTATTCAGGCAACAGAAGAAAGTATGTGTGTCTCCTCATGGAAATTATAATTTTAATTTTGATAGAATTTATATGTGAAGTTTAATGTTAATGCATCGATCAGTGTACATTATCATATTTTAATTTACAATTATGCCCTGGTTATTAAGGGGTGATATTTCTCTGGATTATCTTCTCTATGATTTTTTTAGAGTAAAAAAAATCTCAAAGTATTAGTAGCTCTTATTAAGCATGACTGGTCCCAACAGTTAGACTTCTATAGGCTTAACCTGTTCAGCAAATTGCATCAGATATATTCTTCCAGTGGAACAAAGCTTATATCATCTGTTATATGGTGGCATAGTGGTTACCGATAGGGATATGATCTGCAAGGTCAGCAGTTTGAAACCACCAGCTGCTCTCTGGGGGAAAGACAGGGTTTTCTAGTCCCGTAAAGAGCTGTATTCTTGGAAATCCACAGGGACAGTTCTACCCTGTCCTATAGGGTTGCTATGATTCAGATAATCAAGCTTAATGGAGCTCATATGATTTCTGATTTTAATGTTATTTATAAATTCATGTTTTCATAATTTATTTGGGAACATAAAGAAAGATAAAAAGATGAAGGATTATAGGATTATACAACACTAAAACTCTTCGAAGCGAGGCCTTTGGGAAAGGGTGGAGAGTAAGAATGGGTCTCCTGCTGGTCTTTCTAAATAAATACCAGTGAGACATTTGCAATATACTTAAAAAAATAATCTCTGTAAACCTAAGAACAAAATATCTACTGTACAATCTTCCTCTAACATTATTATGCAATGTATTGCAATTTTCAGATTTACCCTAAATATTTCCCATAAATATGCATTTCTCTCTTCTAACTTGGGCAACATCTTGTTTCCTCATCTGAATCTTTGCATTAAAAATATTGCTTCCTGTCCAGTTTATTGATCAAGCGTTGGACCTATTTAGCAATCAGGGATCCTTGTCACTGTACTAGACTCTTGGGCCTACTTGAGAGATCATCTGGGACATATTGTTATCCTGCATGACCCTCTGTCTCTGGGAGAAGGCTCCTTGTAGGAAGGCCCACTCGTGTTGTAGTTTATCACTTAGATTGTAATTATGGTGGTCTTTTTTATAGGAAATGTTAGTGAAATCGTGCTCTCTGTATAGCAATAAGAAATACTCTTTCTCAATTCCTACTTTCAAAGTAATTTGTTATACTCATTTTTATTTCCAGAAATACATTCCAGCAGCAATGTATTCATCTTGGATTTTTCTCATTGGTTTCATATGTGTTTCTGATAGACGTGAGCACTATTCTGCTTCCGTTTTCTTTTTTGTTCCTTGACTCCTGGAAATCACTGAAGATGTAGTGTTTCCTAAGTGTGGACGAGCTCTTCAATCGACTAAAACACGTGTTGGTAAGCACAGCTTCACAGATTAACTTCAGTGATCTGAAGGAGTTGTCTTCACTGTGCATACGATCAAGCTGGCTATCTCAGGGACAAACACTGTCACATTAACTCCTGAATATTGATCTTCCTCCCAAGGAAGTGTCCATGTTAATTTTAGTATGCTTTCCTCATATCCACAGCTAGAGGTATGTTAGCTTGAATTGGGAAAAGATCAATCTGCATACCAGTCATATCAGAAGGGTTTATTCATATAAAATACCTCAATTTTCTGTATTACTTATTTCCACATTACAATTGTTCTGATGATGAATTTTAAGGGGTTGTCCTTTGTGGCATTAGGGGTTAATCTTTGGGGAGAAAAATGCTGCTGTAGAGTTTTATAGTGTCAGAAGACTAGAGTCACTGGAATTGTCTTGATGACAAGGGCTTTGGTTGTTAGCCTTCAAAACCCTTTTGGGTCAGTTCGATTCTGCCTTATAGGTTTGCTATGAGTTCGAGTTGCCTCAACGGCAGCAAGTTTTGTTTTACGTATCCTTTACCTTAGGGACTCTGGTAGCACAGAAGTCTAAGCACTTGGTTCCTAACTGAATGGTTGGCAGCTTGAGCACACCCGCTGCACTGTGGGAGAGAGAGTGGTAGTCTGCTCCATCAAGATTTACACTGTTTACAGAGTCACTGTGAGTCCGAGGCAACTCAGTGGGTACAGGAGACTCTTACATTATAAGTTGTGATTTTTATGTCTGCACAGATTCTCTTCCTCCACTGTCGTTGAAAGTGATTAAGAAATTTAAGAACAGGAATGAGAATTTGACCGAATATCAATATTCATTTATTCTTATGCATGTTACTCACATGCTATTAAGTGCAACAACATTATATTTTAAGAAAATTAACTTTGTTAAATCCAAAGTATGCTTCCTATAAAAAGTTGATATTCGTCTTGTTGACACCAGAAATAGGTCACAATGATTCCTGAAAAAAATGTATGCAGTTGACTTGCGCAGAAAGTCTGTGGCAAAAAAATAAAAAATAAATAGATGAAAAAAAAAAAAGTTGATATTCAGTGGAACAATGATTGTATAAATAAAAATCAATTTCAAATGTACTCAGTGTGGGGAAAAAAGCATAGTCTAGCATTCAGAGCGTGAACCAAATAGAGGGTTTATTTGTTTTTTATTTTTCCCTGAATTGTGCAAATATACCTATCATTTAACCTTGCTGTGCCTCAGTTTTTCTACCTCCAAAACAGTAGATTCTCCCTGTTGATTGTTTTGAACTGTTAGCATTGTTACCGCTGTTCTGGTCAACTGCCTCCGAGTTCAGAACGTCTTTGGAGCCGACATGGTGTGAACTGACGATGCCCCAAGGACCTGTGTCTAGAACTCCCATTACTGAGTGTGAGGCAGCAAGGAGAGCACTTCAACGTGTTCAGCTTTCCTTCTGCCTTAAACGGGTTTTATATAGTCTATTGTAAGTTATGGGAATTAAATAAGGGTTTTAAAAATCTACATTGAAAGGCCATATCTGATGGTGTGACATCCGACCTAATTTATTCAGAAACTATAATAACCTGAGAGATGGATCTATTTTGTTGTATTGAATTTGCAAGGAATAATGCTGAACTTCCTGTTTTCAAGCAGATTGATCTTGATGAACTATCAGACAGCATATTAATGTCAGAAAGTGCCAAACCACTGGTGCCAAAGGACCATGGTGAATTGAAAAGTTCAGAATATCTCTTTTATTTGTTAGAATAAAATAATTTGGTGCCCCCACCAATGTTTTTGGCATTTTGGAAAAGTTAAAAGGTACTGCTTTTCAGTAGCACTCCTGAGTTTTTGCCTTTTTAAATGATGGGTATTATTTTCTTGTTAAACGGAGTATACCGACAGCCCTTTGTATCTTTGGTTTCCATATCAGTGGAGACAAACAACCTCAATCAAAAATATTCAGGGGGAAAAAAGCAATTAAGTGGTCAAATAAATTCTTCATAGGCTAAGAGGGAGCGCAAAATGCTATTTACATAGCATTTACTGTGTACTGCATATTATACGTAAGCTAGAGAGGATGTAAATATATGGGAGAATGTATGCAGATTATATGCAAACACGACACCATTTTATAAAAGGGACTTGAGCATCTACAGACGTTGATATCCCTGAGGGTCCTGAATCAATCCCCTGTAGATACTAAGGGTTGACTGTATTCATGAAAGAAGAAGAAAACTAGATTAAAAAATTTAAACATTAACTGCATAAAAGATTTTTCATGTAAATGTATTAGGGGAGCTTCCTATTAGCATACATACATATTTGTTAATGGATAAGAGTTGCTTATATTTTGCTTTATAGAAGTAGTTATAGCATGTTGTAATTGCCTTACGTGAATAAAGAGGATATTAAGTTTTCCAGTAATATTTATTAATCTGTATGTATTTTAAAATAAAATAACATTACTAGCTGAACATGTTGCCCACCTCTTTACCCCCTTACTTGACATGATTTTATAGTTTCAGGTTCCATATTCAATCCAGCAATAAAATTTTCCAGTTTTCTTTGTACATTTCCATAGTGATATAGAAAACTGTCTATCTGTTTATATCTTTAAAAAAATTTTTTTTATCTGTTTATATCTTACGGGCACATCTATGTTGTCTGGAGAAAGCATAGTCTCTCTTCTCTATCATATGATTACCTCCTGATTCAATGAAATGATTGTGTTTAACTTTCTGATTCATTTAGTATAACTCTTTACATGTTTTTTAGTTGTATGATATATAATATCTTATATAAATATTTTAAGCCCCTGAGAAACTAGAAGCTCATAACATATTTTAATTTTCCGATCTTTTTTCTCACTCACTAACTGCAATTGAGTCTCTGTCCATGAATAGTGACCCTATAGAAAACTATAGAAACCTGTGGGTTTCCAAAACTGAGCCTCTTCATAGGAGTAGAAAGTCTCATCTTTTCCCCAAGGTGCTTCTGGTGGTTTAGATCTTCTGGTCTTGAAGGGAGCAGCCCAACACATAACCACTTCACCACCAGGGCTCCTCTTTATTTTCTTAGTGTTCTAGAAATCTTTTTATTAACTGAGGATTGTGTTCTATTTGAGCAAAAATATTTTTCCTGAGCTATATCCAGATGGACTTAGTTCCTCAGTTTGATTAAGTATGTATACAGAAATCAGACACAAACATTTTCAGAAACCACAAAATATTTGTATAGATAACCTTTACCATACACATTTTTGCCAGTGTAAAATTGTTTACAAAAACTTCCCTGGTTGGATACCACTAGAACTGTTTGTTTACCTGCTCATGAAGGACAGCGACTGTTGAATGTTAGCTATAGACCTATATACCCTGCCCTTAAAGAGACTTATGCTCTTGTTCTCTGTGGATCACAACACCCCTACCCCATGTTGTTAGTGTTGTCAGCATATTTGCTGGAATATCCATCACATTTAATTGTCTATTTTGAACCTCACACAAAAATCTCAAAGGTTTGAGTTATAGAGGTGAGACATTGAGATAGTTTATTGTGCCAGAAGCCAAGAAAAATTAGAAATAAATTATTTAGGTACCTTGGTCTATATTTTCAGTTTAGAGGAGAGAAATTAATTCTAGCTTAGGAAATTTGAAGGAATTGGTATTGGAACTAGACCTTGGTAAACAGGATAGTAGAGTTACCGGTCAGGAAACAGACACAATAACTCAGTGAAGATGTTTGAAGATCTCAAGATCTGCTCCTTCCCTTTATTTGGATTTATTTAATCACTTTAATAGTTTTCTATAAATGCTATGGCAAATTATCACAGACTTGGTGGTTTAACACAATACAATTATTCTCTTACACTCTCAAGGTCAGAATCCCAACATAGGTCTCACTTGACTACAATCAAAAAGGGCTGACAGAATAATATTCCTTTTGCAGGCTCTAGAGGAGTCTCTCCCTGTCATTTTCAGCATCGTGAGGCTGTCCTTATCCTCAGTTGGTAGCTCCTTTCCTTCAACTTCAAAGGTGATGATGTTGCATCTCACTAACCAGTCTTCCATCCTCAAGTCTCATTCTCTGAAACGTCTCCCCTTCTTACAAGGAAGCTTGTGATTAATTTGGCTCCACCTGGATAATCCCCTGTCCTATAGGGTTGCTATGAAGAGTTCCATGGGGAAAAAATATTGAATGATGTAGGAAACATCAAAAGTAGATGGAAGGAATACACAACACCACTGTACAAAAAAGATTCGGGTGACATTTCACCATTTCAAGAGGAAACATGATCAAGAACCAGTGGACCAAAGAAAGACGTCCACTCTACACTAAAGGCATTAGCAAAAACTAAGGCTCCAGGAATTGATAGAATACCAAGTGCAATGATTAAGCAAGCTGTTGAAACACTGGAAGTACTCATCATCTATATCACAATATTTGGCCAAATGACTGGAAGGGGCCCATATGTGTGGCCATTCTAAAGAATGAGGAAATTATCAAACAATATCATTAATATCACATGGAAGCAAAATTTTGATAGAGATAATTAGAAACTGGTTGCAGCAGTACACCCACGTTTAGGCTGAATTCAAAATAGAATATGGAACAAGGGATATCACTGCTGGCATTAAATGGCTCTTGGTTGAACCCAAATAAGATCAGAGATGTTGTGCTAGGCTGAGTTTTCTAGAGAAACAAAACCAGCGACACTTATATATGTGTAATAAAGATCTTTATATAAAAAATGAATTTCTTATAGCAAGATAGCCCCATCCAACTCAATTCCATGGCTCAAATGCTAGCTGAAGGCCCTTAGCCATATGCAGCTGTGTGTAGCAGATGAAGTGGGAAGTTAGGAGATCACAGGGCAGTGAGTGCATAGTTCTGGGGATACAAGGCTCCAGGAACATCTAGTTCCTAGATGTGAAACATAAGACCTACTCACGCAGGAAAGTAAAAGACAACACAGCAAGCCCTCCATAGCTTCTTTGATTAAAGACTATGTCCTGATTGAGATGGATCTACCTCCACACTCCACACAGGTGCAGCATAAAATCTAATCATCAGATGCTTATCCATACTTTATTGGCTGCAAAGGATTTTACTGTCTGAATCATAACAAACTATATGTAACTTAGAAAGGACTGGGAATTCCAGAACACTTCATTGTACTCACACAGAAATTGTACATAGACCAAGAGGCAGCTGTGTGAACAGAGCAAGGAATTATCACATAATTTAAAATCAGGAACTTTGTACATCAGGGTTGTTTCCCGATACCGATTCAATCTATTTGCTGGGCAGAGAATCTGGACTGTATGACGAACATAGCACCAGGACCGGAGGCTTATGAACAATGTGATATGCAGGTGCCACAACTTTGCTTGCTGAAAGTGTGGACTTGAAAGACTTGCTGATGAAGACTAATGACCGCTACCTTCAATATGGATTGCAACTCAATGCAAAGAAAACCATTATCCTTACCACTGGCCCAGTAGACATCACAGTAAAGAAAAGCTTGAAGTTGCCAGTGACGTCACTTTTATTGGATCCACAATCAACGCCTATGGGAGCAACAGTCAAGAGATCAAGACAGATTGCATTGGGAAAATCTGCTGAATAGTCCTACTTAAAGTGTTGAAGAGCAAGGATGTCACTTTGAGGACTAAGGTGCTCTTGATTAAAATAATGGGATTTTTAATCACCTAATATGCATGTAAAAGTTGGCGATTGAATAGGGAAGTCGGAAGAATTGATGCAATTGAATTGTGGTACTGGCAAAGATACTCCTTGGACGCAAGGATAGCAAGACTTCATCTCACGTATTTTGGACATGTTATCCTGAGAGACCAGTCTCTGGAAAAGGATATGTTTGGTAGAGGGGCCGCAAAGAAGAGGAAGATCCTTGAGGAGATAGATTTTTAACACAGTAGCTGCAACAATGGGCTCAGCCTTAACAATTGTGGGGATGGCGCAAGATCAGCCAGTGTTTTGTTCTGTTTTATATTGGGTCACTGAGTTGGGACTAACCCCATGGCACCTACATAATAGTGACATCTATATATCCTTCCTCTTTATTGTGGAGTAGTATTTCCTGTATGAATATACCATAGTTTCTAAAATCCATTCACCTGTTGATCGACATTTGGATTTCTAATGTTTTACTATTACAATAAAGCTGCTACTGAATGTTCATTTCAAGTCTTTTATGCTTTCATTTCTCGTATGAGATGAAATTTTACTGAAGAGTAGATTGGATAATATGGTTGGTATATATTCTTAAGCAATCACCAAATTGTTTTCCAATAAAGCTGTACCATTTTAAATTTCCTTAGCAGTGTGTGAGAAGGAACTTTTTAAAAAAATTGTTTTTAGGGGCTCATACAACTCTTATCACAATCCATACATACATTAATTGTGTAAAGCACATTTGTACATTCATTGCCCTCATCATTCTCAAAACATTGCTCTCCACTTAAGCCCCTGGCATCAGCTCCTCATCGTTTCCCCTCTGTCCCTGCTCCCCCCTCCCTCATGAACCCTTGATAATTTATAAATTATTTTGTCATATCTTGCCCTGTCCGACGTCTCCCTTCACCCACTTTTCTGTTGTTCGTCCCCCAGGGAGGAGGTCACATGTAGATCCTTGTAATCAGTTCCCCTTTTCCAACCCATTTTCCCTCTACCTTCCCAGTATCACCACTCACACCACTGGTCCTGAAGGGATATCCGCCCTGGATTCCCTGTTTCCAGTTCCTATCTGTACCAGTGTACAGAGAAGGAACTTTCTAAAAGTTTATAAATATATCAGGATCAGGCTTGAGCAAAATTTGTACAAAATTTTCACTTTAACTAAAGTGATGGGTGTTTAAGCAGCCTGGATCTTAGTAGCAAGGTATAGTAACATGCAGAGATGACGTACTATGTGATGAGTTGTCAGGTGAGAGAACTAGATAATGAATGTAAGAGGAGTCTGTGGGGTACAGTGATAAGAGAAAGCTGATTAGATATGGCAAGGCTTGGCTGGAATGGTTAGAACACTGACAGAAATGAGCAGAAAGCAATTCAATTTAGGCTAAATTTAGTACTGCTTCCTTTTCTAAGTGTTCCTGTTCATCTGAACGAACCACTGCTTTCAACTGTTCTCTGCTTCCAAGGGTCTCTGTTGGCTTCTTTATCAATTATTGCTACATAATAAACTACCTTAAAATAAGTAGCTTAAAATAACAGCCATTTGTCCTCTCATACATCTGTGGGTCACTTAGGAAGTGCTACTGATCTGGACTGAACCTGGCTGATTTCAGCTGGGTTCACTCATGGGTCAGTTATCTAGTTCACTAAGCATACTTGCTACTTGGCCGGGTTCTTTCTCATGTCTGGCTTGACTGGAGTAGGCAGGTTCACGTTTCGGACTGACTTGGCCTCATCTTCCAGCAGGCTCACAGAAGCTGCTTTTCATGGCTGTTTAGGCTAGGACGTGGCCAGCTACCACTTACACAAAGTTCTGTTGGCCTAGGCCAATCTTACAGCCAGTTCAGATTCAGGAGATGGATTGGAGCTGCAGTCACATTGCAAAATATACAAATGCACTGGAAAGGTGAGGAATCGCTAGTCCTCAGATTTATGTCTGGCTGGTTACCAACCTCACAGGCGACTGTCTTTAAATTAAAAGATCACAATTACATATACTCAACCCAGGCAGTTCGTAATATTGTAACATAGTACAGATAAGTCTAAAAGGGATCAGAATCTAAAATGGACATATTTGGTGTTTTGCTTTATAGCATATAATTGCTTTTAAAAAGATTTACATCCAGAATTATTTACATTTTACATAACAGCGTTTTTGTAGCTAATCAAAACCTAGAACATCATCCCCAGGGGAGCTTTGCACTTTCAACCAAAGTATTAGCAGGCCCCACACCAGATCTAACTAGTTGCGGTTCTCCACTTATGAATATGCCCTCTGTGTTTCTGGCCAATTTGTGGAAATCATGCTGGCCAATGCAGGTTTTCCTATGCAGACCACGAAAAATAAATATCCAGTTATCGTGCGACTGGCTTTTACCAAACCACAAACCAAAGAATCCGTATTTTTTTGAGATTCCAGCATTTAGAATTTTTAGATTCCCGCCTTTGAGATTCCATCCGGTATAGGGTTTCCACATCTGACCTACCGTTAGCCGCCCAAAGCTTATCCGACCCCTACAGCACCCCCTCTTCTCCCAATCCTATCTCTTATTCTCAGCTTTATGGAATGCCCATCGCTGGGAATTCGCGTTTTAAATAAGCGCTACACAGATTTTATTATTTCAGTGAAAGTGGTGGCAAACACCACGTTGTAAAATATTCACAACCCTCTTCCTTAGGTCTGGTTTCTCCGCGGCCCACTGCCGACACGCGGCCACCTGGCAGAACAGAAGACAACAGCTCAAGTAGGGTCTCGGAGGCTGTAAATCTTTACGGAAGCAGGAAGCAAACGACCGCGTCGTTCTTCCCGCTGGCGGACGGTGGGTCCAACGGCCGGCCTTCCGCGCGTCCACTGCGCTTGCGTACGTCGCGCCGCCGCTGGCGTCACAACCGCGTCCAGGCTCTCCGGGGCTGACTGCGCCTGCGCACGTCGCGCCGGCGCTGACGTCACTTAACCGCGTCCAGGCTCCGCGGCTGGGGTAGGTCCTAGCTTCCGCAGTGGCCGGGCTAGCGGCACTTCCGGGCAGGTTTCTTGCGGCGCTCACTCACGGGGGATGCCTGCACTTCCCAGTGGGTGGCGAGGACGACGGCGGCTCGGCCAGCGGAGGAGTAGGCGGCCCAGGCGCTCTGTGCGGAGGTGCGCACCGCGGTAACCCGGCCTGATCGCGAGCGGCAGTGCGCGGCCCACCTGCCCACGCGGTGAAGACGCACCTCACCTCGGGCGAGCTCGGAGGGCCAACGCGTGGGCCGACCCGCCTGCCTAGGGCCGGTGGAGGGTCCCTCAGGAGCGACTTACTCTGTCTCCTTCCTCGGCAACAATGAGCTGCGCGTGTTCCGAGGAACCCCTCCGTGAGTTAAATTCCCTTAGATTACCTGGAACCCGGCGTGGGCCAAGCCCGTGCCACATACTCAGTAGTGCATTGAACAGCCCATCTTCTCGCGAGGTCTTTCAGAAAACGGTTTCAGCTGCGGTGTAGGTATTATCTGACAGTTCAACAAGCCATGTCCGTCTGCTACAAAGCAAAGTTTTGAACCTAGTTATTTAATTTTCCAACTTTCATAAAACCACCGAATCCTTGCCTCTGTCTCAATACAACTACACAAATCTAAATATAGGAGGGTAATTTTAAAAAGCATTGCTACAAAGTCATGAAACCTAAGCAACACTGTCAAAAGATGAAAGTAGTATTTTTTGACATAGCCTCTTCTATGTTTATACACACCTGAAAGGTGAGTTACCATCTCTTAAATCTTCCCTGAAGAATTCTGCTGCCTTTGATGTACACCATATCAAAATGGCAGTTTGGGCTGGCACAAGGGGAAGCATTCTTTAAACTTATGTTGCAAAGCTTCACTGATTCAAATAGCTGTCCACTGAGTTTTGTTAAAATTTTGGTGTTAGCCTTGACCTCAAATATGTTTTCTATTGGCACACAAAAACATTGTTTTCGGAGCTAAGACGTGTTATTACTGAAAGCACTTGTTAGTAGACACACACTACATGAAGAGACTTGTTTGACCACATTTTCTTAGAAATAAACCTGTGTATGTGTGAACCTTGTGGCTTACCTTCATGTGCCTGCCTTTGGTTTTGATTTTCATTCATGTCTTTTTTAGGTTTTTATTTCATTTAATAGGGGACTACATTGCTGTTTCTGGACATTTTATATATATCTTTGTAAAAAAGTAATAGAATATGAGAGAACAGAGATCGTTCTTGTATTCCTGTCAGCTGTTAAAGTAGTATTGTGCACATGTTACATTTGGTTGTTAGGTTTCAGATAGTTTGTAAAAATAATGAGTATGATAGCCAGTAACTCAGCTCTTTTGCCTATTTTTGTATTTCTTATTTCAGGCTGGAGCTACTCTGCCAGGGTTTAAAACTTTTTAGATGGGCAAAAGGGTAGTTTTGAAGAAGATATGAATGAATAAGTCATATTCTTCCAGGCTTGTTTTCATAAGACCTTACTAAACTTACATGTAAGTTAAAAATTTAAATTTAAAACAATGGAATCTTAATCTGAAAGGGATCACAATAAAGGAACCTGGATAGAGTGGGAGAAAAATGTAGATCAAAGCTCAAAATCATTAAAAAAAACAAAACCAGGTTTACTAGTTTTGTGGATGATGGGCCTTAGTCACTCTTTCGGTCTGGAAATGAATTCACCCTTCTGGTTCATGTTCAGCCAAACAATAGAGAAATCTGTAAGTAGGATTGCACACACTCTTTAGAATAACCAGCCATTGACATCAAAAGGGCAGCATTTGCCTGAGGACAAAATTCAAAAGGCAGAAAAGGGTCAGAAAGAGGGAGGAATAAAAATAGAAAACACAGGAAGTGGGTTAAGTGATGTTACATTGTGAGGATTGCAATCCTTGTGCAATACTGTATGAACTGTTACATGAAAAACTTTTGCTCTGAAAACCTTTACCGAATTCACAATAAAATGTTTTGCTTTTTAAAAAAGAAAATCACAGCTTTAGAAACCTTATGGGGCAGTTACACTCCTCTGTCCTTCAGGTTTTCTAAGAATCAAAATTAGCTCGATGGCGGTTGTTTTGGTTTTGCTTGGTATATGAGGATTATATGCAGCGATCTATGCTGGAGTTTCTATGAACAGTAAAGCACTTTCTAGATGTAAGGATTAAATGTTGTCATAGCGGTCATTCATTATTATATCCTTCAGAGAACTTAGTATAGGGACTTAACATTTCAATAAGTACTCAATGCTTGTGGCTGGAGTGAGTAATAAACACTTGATAATTGCATGTTGAAATAAAGAATCTAAAATTTGGTTTGGAAGTTTAAGGTTTCCAGTAGTTGTGTTATTTTTTTAGAACAGGATTCTGAGATGTTATTAGAGAGTAGTCACGTGTTCTTTTTAAAAACAGTTATATTGATATATAATCCACATACCGTACAGTTCAAGAGTTTATTCATATCAAGAAGAGCTGTGCAATCATTACCACAAATAATTTTAGAACATTTTCTTTTTTCTTGTACTCATTGTTATTAGCTCCCCATTTCCCTATAACCTTCCTTGCCATACCCCCAAGAAACTATTAATCCAGTTACTGTCTCGATAGACTTAACTATCCTGATTTTATATACAGAAAAACATACAATAACAAAAAAAAATGACTAACAAAGTAAAACAATCTCAGAAAAGCAGAAAATATTGCAAAGTAAAACAAATTTAAAATGGGTCAAAAGGGAACTCAAATGATAAGGTACTAAGTTTGACCGTAACTGAATCTTCAGTAATCTGCCTTCCAGCATGATAGCAAGGCTATTCACATCCCCAGTCTGTGGTCAGAGGGGATTCACCGGAGGCTTCCTCTACTTGTTTTGCCTCTTCACTTTTTTTTTTTTTAAACTGAAACAACTTTTTATTGGGTCAAAATGGAGATCAACTAAGATAATTAATTTTAATCTAACTATATCACCATAATCAACTTTCAAATGCTTTGTCTAACAGACTATTTACATCCCTCAACTAAGGTCAGAGGAAATTCATAGGAGGCTTAATTGTGGACCCTGCAAATGGATTTTGAGCTTCTTTCATCCATAGCCTTTTGCAATGCTGGTGTTCACAATTTAATTACACACTTTAACCTCTTTTAGTTTGCTTATCTGTATAGTGGTGTAGTGATGCCTTATTATTATGTACTTTAGAAATAATGTATACAAATCACTCAAAACAGTCCGTAGGTAGGTGCTTAGTAATAATAATGAGTTAGACTTGTCTTTAAGATACACCGTATAAAACATAGTTCACTTGTATTAAAAACATTTGACTTTATTACGTTTTTTTTCTTTTCATTAGAAGAAAATAAACATCAAGATGGGGATTTTTTTTTAATCGTTTTATTAGGGGCTCATACAACTCATCACAATCCATACATACATCAATCGTGTAAAGCACATTTGTACATTCCTTGCCCTCATCATTCTCAAAACATTTCCTCTCCACCTAAGTCCCCGGCATTAGGTCCTCATTTTCCCCCTCCTTCCCCGCTCCCCACTCCCTCATGAGCCCTTGATAATTTATGATTTATTATTTTGTCATATCTTGCCCTGTCCGATGTCTCCCTTCACCCACTTTTCTGTTGTCCGTCCCCCAGGGAGGAGGTCACAT